AAATTTTTCCGGCGAACATCGTCGCCGGAGAAAAATTTCCCGGCGACAGTGCTAATTTTGTAATGTTTGTATGCTTTGTTATTTTGTAATGTTTGTCGGTTTTTTTTTTGTAATGTTTGTAAACTTTGTTATTTTTGTTAACCATGTTTGTAAACTTTGTCATTTTTGTGCACCATGTTCGTAATGTTTTTTATGTCTAAAAAACACCCGGGTTGACTTTGGGAAGGAGCCCCTCTATATAGGGATGGAGCCTCAAAAGTCAACCCGGTTGTTTTTTCTTTTTGTATGGTTTGTATTGTTTGTCGGTCTAGTTTGTATTGTTTGTACAGTTCATACGTTTGTAATGTTTGTATGTTTTGTCGCTCTAGTTTGTACTGTTCGTATGTTTGTATGGTTTGTACTGATTGTAAATCCGGTTTGTATACTTCGTAATTTTCCATAATACCCAAACTACCCCTGTCATTAATTAAATAGCCCTTCCCACTTTTTAACCATTAGATTGAAGTGTCCAGATCTAAGGGCTGGGAGGGGCTTAGTCAAGTGACTAAGCACCCCCCCTTAGTCACCAGATCCGCTCTCGTTCGTAACACACTTATAGCCCACAAGACCACGACCGGCTAGAAGACAACACAGAAAGGAAGAAATCGTTGAACTGACCTGAAATAGAGAAAAAATGAGATTCTATGATCCAAAGCTTCGCGTCCATGGGAGAGAGTAATCGAGTGAATTCCAAGATGAGAGAGAGAGAGAGAGAGAGAGAGAGATATGAGATGATATGCTGTTGTTGAGAGAACTGGGAGAGAGGCATCGTCAGCATCTATGCAACACAAAAAGAGAGTGAAATGAGATATCGATGGGCAAAGAAGGGATGGGAGAGAAGGAATGGTGTCTGGGCTGAGATCAGGTGACTAAGGGGGGTCCCCTTAGTCACATGGCTAAGTAAATCCCCACCCTTACATCTCATTAAAATCCAAGGGCTCCTATTAATCCAATTTAATGAAGGGCAATATAGTAATTGCATATTTATTTTTAATTTTTAATTATAAAAGAAATAAAAACAGTCGTTCCGTCCCCGTCCCTTTGCGTCGGATCGCCTCCCGTCCGCCTCTGATTATGGGCGCCATTATTTTTCCCCGCCGCCGTTCCGTTTTGGGGAAAGCTCCTGGCCGGGGCTTTTTAATTTTGGCCCATGGCCACCGGCGCCGTCATTTATGGTGTGGCAGATTTAATTTTGGCCCATGGCCACCGTCGCCACCAGAGAGAGAGAGAGAGAGAGAGAGAGTTTTTGGTCGGGAAATTTTCTGATCGGAAAATTTTTTCCGGCGAACATCGTCGCCGGAGAAGAATTTCCCAGCGACAGTGTTAATTTTGTGATGTTTGTTGACATATTTTGTAATGTTTGTATACTTTGTTATTTTGTAATGTTTGTCGGGTTTTTTTGTAATGTTTGTAAACTTTGTTATTTTTGTTAACCATGTTTGTAAACTTTGTCATTTTTGTGCACCATGTTCGTAATGTTTTTTATGTCTAAAAAACACCCGGGTTGACTTTGGGAAGGAGCCCCTCTATATAGGGATGGAGCCTCCAAAGTCAACCCGGTTGTTTTTTCTTTTTGTATGGTTTGTATTGTTTGTCAGTCTAGTTTGTATTGTTTGTACAGTTCATACGTTTGTAATGTTTGTAAATCTGTTTGTATGTTTTGTCGCTCTAGTTTGTACTGTTCGTATGTTTGTATGGTTTGTACTAATTGTAAATCCGGTTTGTATACTTCGTAATTTTCCATAATACCCAAACTACCCCTGCCATTAATTAAATAGCCCTTCCCACTTTTTAACCATTGGATTGAAGTGTCCAAATCTAATGGCTAGGAGGGGCTTAGTCAAGTGACTAAGCACCCCCCCGTAGTCACCAGATCCGCACTCAGCAGTGAAATAATAGAGAGGTAGGTAGCTTGTGTGGTGGAAAAATGGTCACCAAACTTCCTTGCGAAGGATCGCAATAATCAAGAAACCCCTTTGGGCCCTAAACCACAACAACACTTCTCCCAAAACTTCTCCATCATCACCAGCAAGACAATCCCCTCGCATTTTCTGCTTTCTTTCTCATCATCTTCCCCCCTCACAGTGGTGTAGTTCCCAAAAATTCTCGGGCATAGGGAATCACATGCAATTTGAAGGAGGGAAGGACCGAGAGAGATAAGGAGAGAAAAAGTGAATATGAAGGGGGATTCGAGGGCCACGTGATGTCCACAGCAAAAACAGAGGGCAAAACCGTCTGGCCCACACAAAGGCGAGCAGCCAATAAGAAAAGGCGGTCGGGCCCAACTGCAGACCAGGGACCAATCAGAGGAAGGTGAATAGTAATTCTGAGTCTAAATGAACAGGAATTTCGTGTCTAGGCGAAGAGTAAACTCAGTCTTGGCGCACAGGAACCGTGTCTTTGCAAATAACTTTTTTCAATTACCAATTATACGAAGATTATTTTCACCCTTCTTTTAATTCACAACACTATATTTCTATGTCTCTCCCTCTGCCCTTAGGTATATTGATGCAAACAACATGTAGAAAGCTGCAACTTTGTGGGGGAAAGTTAATCTGCTAACTTGAAAATTCGTTAGCAGATACTAACTGATATCCAAAATACATGAACTAGTATCCAAGTACTAAAGTATCTAGAGAGCACAGACTAGTATTCAAAGTTTGCTAACTGATATCCACCAGGAATCAACTATTATCCCAAATTCACAAACTAATATCTAGACAACACAGAATAGTATCCATATAACACATAATTAGTATCCCGATAACACTTAAGAGTATCCAGATAACACATAAGAGTATCCATATTGAATACTAGTTGGTTGATTGTGGATATTAGTTGGTATCTGCTATCTGGATACTAGTTTGTGATGTTTTGAATACTAGTATGTGTTATCTAGATACTCAACAGACTTAGATATTAGTTCATATATTTTGGATATTAGTTAGTATATACTAACGAATTTTCAAGTTAGCAGAATAACTAGGCTGACTTTGTGACGTCTTGGTGGGTGTGGTGATGAGATTTTACCGAATCCATTATCAAAGAGCCATTGATCTATCGTAGGATTTATTAGTTGTGACTATTTGATGTAATAGTGTTTATGGTTGTAAATATCAGTGTAATTGCATTCATTAGTAGTGATTCGGTAGTTTGTGATCCGGTAGTTGGATATATTAGAATGTAGTAGTTATTTTTAAGTAGTGATTCTTATTGTAATTATTGATTTTTGTTAATATTAGTAGCGATTTGGTTATGACATTACGGTGCCCGACCAAGAATTTCTGGCTCAGATCTTGGGGGTAGGGGCGGTTGGGGCCCATGACAAATACCTAGGTCTACCTTCCCTGATAGCCCGCTCTAAAATGGCTACTTTTCGATACCTCGAAGAAAAGCTCCTTGAGCGTCTGCAGGGGTGGAAACAAAGGACATTGTCATGGGCTGCCAAGGAGGTCTTGATTAAATCAGTTGCCTTGGCGCTTCCGTTGCATGTCATGTCCTGTTTCAAACTACCCCTTTCCCTGTGCAGGCTTTTGGATAAGCACGTGGCACGGTTTTGGTGGAATGTGGTTGAGGGCCATTCTAAGATTCGTTGGTTATCATGGAGGAATATGTGTCGAAGCAAACACGAGGGGGGTTTGGGGTTCCGCCGGTTTGAGCAGTTTAACCAGGCTTTGTTAGCCAAAATTGGGTGGCAGATCATTACTGACCCTCACTCCCTGCTAGCGCAAGTCTATAAAGGAAAGTACTTCCCTACTGGTACGTTCCTTACGGCTACGGCAAGATCTCGGCCATCGTGGGGCTGGCAGAGTATTCTGCATGGCAGGCTGTTACTGGAGCAAGGGTTAAGATGGCAAATAGGTAATGGGAGAAAGGCGTCCCTGCTGTCTTCGACTTGGATTCCTCAGCTTCACCCCTCTCCTCCGAGGTACAACCCCCGGGTGCTCCCGGAAGGGAATGACCTTTGTGTGGAGGAAGTTCTTTGTCCTGGGGAGGGATGTTGGAATGATTCGAAGCTCAGTCAATGGTTTGACCCCCCAACCTGTCGTGCCATAAAGTCTATCCCGCTTCCAAGACACAGCGTAGAGGATCGTCTTGTCTGGCAAGGCACTGCGGATGGAGCTTTCACGGTTAAATCGGCCTATCACCTTGCCGTCCGGTTGGATCAACAAAGCAGTCGTTGTAAAGCTACAGTTAGTTGGATGGATAAACCGAGTTGGATCCGGGTTTGGGAGGCCAACATACCACCGAAACTTAAGATGTTTTTATGGCAAATTTTAAACCGGATTATCCCACTACAAGAAAATGCATATCCAGCAACATCATTATTTGTAGCTAAAGTATTATTATTTTGTGGCTAAATGATATAGCCATAAATAAATAAATTTGTAGCTTGCGTAGCTAAAAGTGGCGCAGCTAAAGGTTTGCTACACATTTTTTTACTTACGTAGCTAAAACTAAATACTTTTAGCTATAGAAAAGCAATATTATAGCAAAAGTACAACAAGAATTAGCCACGAAGCCAAACTGATGTAGCAAAACTATCAAAACATTTAGCTACATTGCATATAAAACATGGCTTAATTCAATTATTAGCCACACATAATCTTATTCAGAACTAAACACTCATACTTTTTGCCATGAATAGTTGTGTGAAATTGCTATGGGTGGCAGGCCTTTTTCTCAAAAAAGAAAACTCCAGATAATATTTTTTTTTTAGGATATTAAAATTCATAATTATATTTTACATTTTTATGGGGTTGAAATCTAGGGCTCATCACATCAATAAGAGAAACAATAAGTAAAAAAAATATTATTCAATAATCAATACTCATTAAATTCACTAATTTGATCAAATATAACATTGTTCAATACAATATAAGATATACTATTTTATATAAGATACAAAATAGTATACATCATTATCACATAAAGAAAAATGTAATAATATCTTAATAAACTCGTAATACTATTTACAAAGATAAGTACAAATTGCCAACAAGCTAACATCTCAAATCAATAAATTCATGATTATAATTATTTGCTTCTTCCGCTATGATTCATGCGAGTTTAGTTCCATCTCCTGGAAAAGAAAGAAAAGCACTTATAAGTTCCATGGCAGAATATTAAGAATGCATACTAAGTACTAGCCTAATATATGTACGGTTATAAAGTGAGAAGTGTTTTTTCCGTCCCCTTTAGAAACAATAGGTATCAATGATATTCAGGTTAAATAAACAAGGACAGATGTAGTGGCTTACAATTGAGTTCGTTAGGCTGAATTTAGATAAGTATTGACAATAGTCTGTTATATTGAATGAGAAAAGATCATATGGTCATTAGAAATATATGTGCAGATAATATATTTAATAGTTCGTCATATTGAATTTGATGCTCAAACAATATGAAATCGGTGTACAAAAACCTGAGAAATATGAACAGATTCTATAGATGTAGATGAAAAAACTCCAAATTTGACTAATCAAGTTCTGAGGATGGGATCTCAAGATCGGATTCCTCCGTAGATTAGTAGAGAGGTGAATGAAGGATACCTCCATCGCTGATGAACGAAAGACGCCATGGAGCTTTAGCGTGCTGTGTAGTGATGGTGGAAGAATTGTGGAGTGAATAAGCCGGAGATTCCAATTGGCTTTGGTGTGAAAAAGAGGTAGAGGCGGCGTTGAGAAGGTGTTGCGGCAGTGCGGCTAGGGCTCTCTAGGAATAAAAAGATAGCTAGGGTTTGAAAGAGGAGTCGAAAAACCCTTTTAAAACATTTTCCTCCTACAATTACTGAATTTGTAGCATTACTAAATACCAAGTTGTGCTTGCAAGTTAAAATTTTATAGCAAATACACAATATGAATAGTTTCACCTGTTTAGCGATATAGCTAATTGTCATAAACAACTATGTATTTATCTTTCATGGCTAAAACAAAATTTTCAATATGACAATAGCCACAAATGTCTATTTATAGTGGCTTAATACACTATTTTGCTTTATTGTTTCCGTTGAGCAGAACGTTCGTGGCAAATTGAATACCAATTGCCATGTTACAAAAACTTCGAATCAAAATAATTAAAGTAGCTACGTCGTGTAACATTTGTGGCTTAATAAAATAATAATAGCCATTTGAAGAGACTTTTGCAGCTATTAATCTGTAATAGCTACAAAACATTTTTTCATGGCAATGATTTTGTGGCTATATGTGACATTTCTTGTAGTGTCCCCACAACTGAGGCGCTTAGGAATAAGGAGGTGGTGGTTCATCCTAGGTGTCCTGTCTGTTGGGAGGCAGAGGAAACCATGGAGCATTTATTTCTGGACTGTCCAGTGGCTAGGGCGCTTTGGGATTATTCTGGCCTGGAATACCTAGGTCAGGCCCTGCCTCGCCATACCTTTCCGCTTTTTCTGAAACGACTGTTGGCTCTCATTCGACAACCGGAGCTGGTTATGACGGTGGTTGCTGTCCTATGGAGGATCTGGCGCTCTCGGAATTGGGTTGTTTTTGAAGGAAAGCAATTTGGGATCCCGGCCTTGCTGCGACAGTTACATCAGCAGGTGGATGAATGGTTGCGTTTGCCGATTGAGAAGGAAAATCCTACTTGTGTTTCTAGAGCTCCTATTATCTCCACAAGGGGTGGTAGGCAGATTATTTGTAGTTGGGATGGGGCGACTCGGCGGGGATCCCACTCGGCGGGAGGGATAGTGATAATGACTCCATCACGAGAAATTCTGTTGGCACGCGGGTTCCAGGTCCAGGGCATTGATGATCCGTTAGTAGTGGAGGTATTGGCACTTCGGGAGGCCTTATATTGGTGTCTGGAGAGTGGTTTCTTTGAGGTGTGCTTTGAAGGCGATGCCAAGGTTGTTATCGATAAAATCATTCGGGCAGAGGTTGGTGACACACGGATGGGGGCGGTATTGGAAGAGGTGGTATCTTGTTTTGCCTTGCATCCGGGGTTTGGTATTCGATTTGTAGGTCGTCGTAACAATAGGGTAGCCCACATGGTGGCTAGAAAGGCCCTTTCATTGTCTCCGACTGCGAGTCGTTTGTTTGATTTTCAGACCTGGCTGTTTTCCAGGGTGTAACTGTCTTTTTGGTAATTCAATATATATGAATATCTTTTGTCAAAAAAAAAAAAGTAGCGATTTGGTTATAAGTAGTAGTAGTTTTCATTTGTAATAGTAATTTATTATTTCTAGTAGTGATTTTTAACTAAAATCCGGCGTCCATTACTACTTAATTATTGGTAAATCGCTACTAATTAAATTGGATGTAGTGTACTTATATAAAAAATACTAATATAAGCCACCAAAATTACTACTTAAAAATCAGTAAAACACTACTAACGGGATTAAAATAACTGCGATGCTTAGACAAAAACACTACTGTAAGGCATCGAAATTGCTACTATGTTCTTGATGGTATTTTTGTAGCAGTACTTTTCATGTTAAAAAACTTCTTTGTAAAAGAGGAGAAAAATATTCAAAAAATTAATTAAAAAAAATATTTCAGAAAATACCGAATATACCCCTCAATCATATCCACCATCAGATTTACTCAAAACTAATGAACGGTGATTATAATGGTTAGTACAGTGCTAACCCCAAACTCCTCCCCTAAAATATTCATCTTTCATCATTTTTTCCAAAGAAATAATGGCTCAAAAAATTCTGAATAATTTATTCTACGAATTACATAATACATATAATAGATGCAGTGCGTTTAAATTATAATCACATTGCTTATCAACTATCAAGTATATACTTAGTACAAACTACATTGATCAATTGGGATAGGTGAGTCATTGAATAAAGCAGGTTCGATAAAAACTTTCCTCTCCTGAAACACCCAACTCATTTTTGCATAGAGATCCAGCCAATGATCTAATGACTAGTGAGTGTACAGAGTGAGCAACCTGAGAAGAAAGTCCAGATCTGGGGAATTTGCTCTCTGAGCTTTTCCATTGATGAATCAGCAGTATATATACAGAGATTTACACTAATTACTGTAACTTAACGGCTATCAAAACTAACAAACAAATTGACCTATCTAAGCTGTACACGTAGCTTAACTACAGTAAATAATGAAAGGCAGTTCGTTGATGAAGTGCTGCGTTTTGTGTGCCACTTATTCTGCACGCCACCGTTTCACTTTGCTTCATCTTCTTTGTCTTGTACGCTGCCGTTTCGCTCTGTTCTTCTTCCTTCGTTTTGTTCTTCAATTCCAGAACAGAGAACTTCTTCTTCTTCTTAGCTGCTGTCAAGCAACTTCTTTCTTCTGCTAAATCATCATCACTATCATGGCTCCTTGTTACCCTCCCACAAGCTGGCGAGTATATGTCATATACTCCCAGCTTGGACAACAAGGAAGCAAATCGATCCACTGATAAGCTCTTAGTGAAGATGTCTGCAGGTTGCATTTTTGTTGAAATGTGATGCAATGAGATCAACCCTGACTGTACTCTTTCCCTTATGACATGACAATCGACATCTATGTGCTTTGTCCTTTCATGAAATACAGGGTTTTCAGCGATATGAATCGCTGATTGATTGTCACAGAATACCTTGACTGTTTGAGAATGATCCACTCCAAAGTCCTTTAACAATCTGATCAACCATTCAATCTCACAGCTCAAACTAGCCAAGGCTCGATATTCTGCTTCTGATGAAGACCTGGATACTGTCTTTTGTTTCTTACTTTTCCATGTAATAATTCCTGAGCCAAGAAAGGTACAGTATCCAGTTATGGATTTTCTTGTATCTGGACAAGTTGCCCAGTCTGAGTCACTGAAACCTGTCAATTCAAGCTTGGTATCCTTAGAGTAAAGCAATCCTTGACCTGGTGAACCCTTAAGATACCTGAGCACTCTGTGTAAAGCCCTCAAGTGAAGTGTTGTTGGACTGTCTTGGTATGTACACAATTGCTGAACTGCAAATGCAATGTCTGGTCTGGTAGTTGTAAGATATTGTAGTTGTCCTACAAGATGCTTGTAACCTGCAATATCAGTCAAAGGAGCCCCTCCTTGAGCAGATAGAACTTCTTTGACATAAATGGGAGTAGATGCAGGCTTACAATCCTTGAACCCTGATTCTGTTAAGAGTTCCAAGCAATATTTTCTTTGTGAAACTGTGATTCCCTTAACTCCTCTTGTAACTTCCAGACCAAGAAAATACTTTAACTCCCCCAAATCCTTCATTCTGAATTCCCCTTGTAAGATTCTTTTGGTTTCTGCAATGGATTCCAGGCTAATACTCCCAATCATGATATCATCAACATACACAATGAGTACCACCAATTCTCCTAGAATCTGAGCTGTGAAAATGGAATAGTCTGAGGAAGTATGATGAAAGCCATGTTTCAGTAGGCTTTCAGTTAATTTGGTGTACCATTGTCGACTTGCCTGCTTTAATCCATAGAGTGATTTCTTTAAGTGACAAACTTTTCCTTTGCAATCAAATCCCATCTCCAGACCTGCTGGAATTTCCATGTAGACTTCCTCTGTCAAATCACCATTTAAGAATGCATTGCTCACATCCATCTGATGCAAGTGCCAGTTCTCAACAGCTGCTACTGCAAGCAAGGTTTTGACTGAACTCAGCTTGGCTATTGGTGAGAAAGTATCACAGTAGTCAATGCCATAGACTTGATTATACCCTTTAGCAACTAGCCTTGCTTTATATCTCTCCACTGATCCATCTGAATGCAATTTCACTCTAAAGACCCATTTGCAGCCTATTGGTTTCTTCCCTACTGGTAGATCTGTGATCTCCCATGTGCCATTATCAATCAAGGCCTTCAATTCCTCCTGTACTGCTTTGTTCCAGTGAGAGTTTTGCATTGCTTCTTCATAAGTAGCAGGTTCTGTGTGTGCAGTCAGGTTGTTTATGAAATGCTGGTGTTTAGGGAGCAAATGAGTGTAAGAGAGTGCTTTGTGAATGAGATGGGGAATATGGTAATCTCTATGCCAATTGGGAGGTCTGATTGTTCTGGTTGACTTTCTCAATTGAACATGAGATGGTGAATGAGAAGGAGAGTTAAGAGGTATTGGTGAAAAGGGAGAAGAGGAAACAGGACTAGGTTGAGGAATGGGAGATGAAATGGGAGTAGGGGAGAAAACAGTGGGTTGTGAATCCACAGGATGAGTTTGAGAGGTTTGAGGAGTTTGAAAAATGGGAGGAGAATGTGTAGAAGAAGAAGGAGAAGAGGGAGACTGTGTGCCCCCCTCAGACTGTGGATTCTCAGGAGAGGTAGGATTAATGTCAGAAGGGAAAGCTGGGAAATTGGTGCTGGGGGTAAGTGTAGGTGAAAAGATGAAGGGTGTAGAAGAAGAAGGAGATGTTGTATTAGGTACAGGAATGGGAGCAGGTGAGGTAGTAGAAGAATGGCTGGAGTAAGGCAGGATGTTTTCATGAAAGACAACATCCCTTGAGCAAAAGACACGTTTGCTTTCAAGGTCCAATAGTTTGAATCCTTTGATTCCTGCAGGTATTCCTAGAAGGATGCATTGTTTGGATCGAGGGGAAAATTTAGTTCTGTGTGGACCTGTTGTAGAAGCATACACCAGACAGCCAAAAACTTTCAAAGAACTGTAATCAGGAGGAACTCCATACAACTTCTCATAAGGGCTTAGATTGTTCAAGACAGGAGTAGGGATTATATTGATTAAATAGGCAGCATGAAGAACAAATTCACTCCAATAAGTGAGAGGAAGACCAGATTGGAACTTAAGAGCTCTTGCCACATTCAAGAGATGCTGGTGCTTCCTTTCCACTCT